CCATTATTTATAATATATGTATAATATAGTTATGAAGTAATGGGTTAATACGTATACGAGTAATTATATTCTTTTGTGCCGGCGCCTACGTTCCTACGCCACTCATCCAACGTGTGGATCTAGTAGATAGGTATTATTGACACCAACGTTGGGGAAATTGTATTTTTTTAAATATCTTACTAACCTCTGAACCCAACAACTCAAAAATAACTGACATTTGAATCAGTTGACCGTATATGAGTACAGTCATAGGCCCATAACGTAACATTGCACTATATCCACCTGCAATCAAACACGCATTGTTGTGATGAAAATGTTAATCTCTTGGCGTTTACTATGTTAGTGAGCTTAATATACGCGTAAAAGTACCTTCCGAACATTCCAGTAGTAACAAACTACAGCAAACCAGATGAAACAAATAATTACAGGCTAAAATGGGCCCGAACAATACCGAAACTTCATCTGTAAATCTAAAGCAAATCAATTATTTTGTATCTACCACCAATCTAAATCACCGCTTTGAACTTGGTATAAGGTACTTGATACAAATAAGGCCTACGTTCTAATATGGCCTATACATCAGAAAACACAGATAAATAAATCCAACCGGGACAATACTTCAAGGACACGTACTCATATGCCCTATAACCCAGTAGAGTGCTAGAGCATCCCGATCCACGATCCCAGCACCAATTGGCACGCGTTCTTCTAAGGTGGTGGGTGATTTCGTGCTCACTTATAAAAATCCGGCGATTTCATCTCAAGTTTTCCGTAAAATGACGCTGTTTTAGATTAAGCTTTTCTTAGTAATCTACTATATAAAAATAAGTCGGGTTTTCCTCCCTGACGCTATAACTCCAGAACGCACGAACCGATTTCCACGGTTTTGCATTCGTTGGAAAGGTCTCGGGCTCCGTGAGGTTTATAGCAAAGAAAATTAAGGAAAATTTTCAATAGAAAAGCGGAAAGGGGGTAAAACGGGATCCACGCGTACGAAGTCGCGGGCGGCCGCTAGTCGTTTCTAAATATATATTACTAGCTAATAATTACCTTAATTTGTACTACTGGCTATAGATGCATTATTTGTAAATTTTTAAAGACAACAAGAGCGAGATATCTAATAAGGCCTAGGCCTTATTTCAGCATGGTATGCCATATTAGATACTTATGTTAACACCTGACTACGGACAAATTTATTAAACTAAATGAGTCAAAGAGTAACAAAATATTTATTTAATAAGAATGTTATTAACAGCACAGAAAAGAAAAAGAAAACAGTGTAAAAAAAATTTACAAAACCTGTAAAAAAAGAAACAAAATACAAAAACAATCAAAATTAAGAAAAAAGAAGCCGTATGTATAATTCTTAAGGAAAGGAGAATAAAAGCTGGTATTATCATGTCTGTTTCGAAGACAAAGTAGCAGATACGCGACCATTAATGACTGCTTTAGGTGGTATCACAAATATTGTGTAGGAGTTCGCAAAGATGATTCAGAAGCCTTTTTATGCCCCGGTTCTAACAAAAACTGATATCTCATTTCGTTTACAAAAATTCAAGACTAAATGATGTTCCTAAACTGATTTATTTAAAAGGTTTTATGTGTAGGCCTTATTCGAACACGGTGTTTTAATAAGCCCTATACAAAAAACAATATTGTTTGTTTTTGATATTTTTTTTTTGATAATATATGTAAGGAATCGTTACTTTGTTACTATGAATATTTAATTTTATCTATAATTTATGTATAATTCTTAATAAGTGGAATTTAAGTTTATCTAGAGATGTACAGTATATCTGGGGGCACGGCAAAAAAGCGGCACGGCCGTACCATCCTTTTCTCGAAGCAATTCAGGCCATTTTCGACCGCCTGTAACTTCGTTGTGGATAAAACTAGAAGGCTGAATTTTCATTAGCTATGCAGGCATTGTAAAGACACGGTATATTTAAAATTTCATTCAATTTGAACCAGGAGTTTAAGAATTATAACAAAGTTACTTAATTTTGTCACTCACTGACTCACTGACTGACTCACCGATCATCAAAATTCTAAGGCACTTCTAGCAGACCTACAAGCTTCAAATCT